CTTCCGCTGCCACAGCGCCATGTCTGGCGTAAAATGTGCAACTTTGGTGGCGCTCAGTGTTGCAGTGTCGGAGGAGGCTTTTCCGAGGCAATTGGGAGCAGAGAGCTTGATTGAAAAGGTCTGCAAAGACACAGGTCTGGATGATCTGTGTAGCAAAAGCATCCGTCTACCTACTGGTGTGACAATGTCCTACAAAGATGCTTGCGCACATAATGTGTGCACCTGGCCCTGTGGCCAAAAGCAGTGCACAAACAATTGCTGCCCCTACACCACTAAGACTTGCAACAACAAGTGCTGCTGCTGGGGGTTCCTGAAGTGCGGCTGCTCAAAATCCAAGTGTGGTGAATGGTGCGTGAACACACCTCACTTCACTTGCAACAAGGATAAATGTGGGGAGACCTGCGTAGATATTCCATGCTCGGGAGTCAGTAAAGAGCACTGTGGAGAGACATGTGTGAAGGTGCCCGATTCTTTGGCCATCAACTGGAAAGATGCCTCTCCTTGCGAACACTTTTCCAAGTTGAATCCAATGCTGAAGACGGCAGAGATGGCATGTGCTTGCCTGGGAGCACTGTCAGACTTTCTGAAGCATGTTGGTGACTTCCAATCCAGTGAGCCTTCCTCCGTAGCATTGAATGCAGCATCACGCATGGTTGGCTGCCTGGTCAAGGAAGGCTTCCACGTCCAAGACGACAAGGCAGAGGTGGTGCACGAGTTGACGAATGGAGATGATTACATCATCCAAGCAGCGCCTGTTGATCTAGAGAAGTACGTGGAGATGACAACAGCTGTTGCGGCCTGTGCCTCAACTGGTGCGTGTCACCTAATTCACACGGCCTTGTTGGACTACTTCAAGTCAGTAGCCACAGATGTTGGCAATGGTGTCGAAGACTTCTTAGAGACCTTCGTCCTCGACAGCCTCCTCAGTCCTTTGGCAGCTGCTGCTGATGTACCTCTAATGCTCGCTGAGGACTTGCCCCAGTCGCTGCAGTGCACCGCCGATGCCGCTGAGGCAGCTTTCCAAGACGTCAAGGGGAAGATTGAAGAAGTGAAGGATTTCTTCCAGGACTTGAAGAAGAAGGTGAGTAACAGTTTTGTTTTAGTTTTTGCACACTATCACTAGCAACATGTGAGCCAGGTGTGGCTTCACTGCAAGCCCTTGTGAGCAATTTCTGGGTGTATCATCCAAACTCGCCTTGCTCGGCAGCAGGTGGAGACCTTGCAGCAGGGGTGCCAGAAGGCCATTGAGGCCGTGGGCGGCCTGGCGGATTCCTTGGACACTTCGGTGCAGAACATTGTGCAAAACCTTCTGGATGGCCAGGCGACGCCTGTGGGCCGTGAGTTGGTGGTGGTGTGTTGGTGTCATAGGCAGTGGTTAACGGTTGGTTGGCGCAAGACAAGTCTTGAGCGATTGGTGTTGGGGTGTTGGGATGTTGGGCTTGCGCAGTTTACTGATAGACTTTATCAGTTGGGTTGTAGTTTCCAGCTGAGCGAGAAGGATGCTTCTTTTGGGAATAAGTTTCAATGCTCTGGGCTCAAATTCGTTTCTCGAGGCGCCACTGGTCGATGCTGTGAAGCAGATCAAAGACTTGGCCGAAGTGAAAGAGCTTCTAAATGCTCTGAGCCAGCTGAAAGCAGAAGTGGCCGATGTGAAGAAGCGCGCTGAGGAGTTAGATGACTTGAAGATGTCCCTTCAGGACTTTCAAAACAGCCGCGGCCCAAAGCATGGTCAGAAGTTTGGGTTTCATATGTTTGGAATCTAACTCCAGTCAAGAGTCAAAAACAGTGCAATTTTGGCTTTTGTCAAGCGCCAATCATTTATAATTGAGAGTTCCTTCGGCTTTGACTTTCTTGACACAGGCTTGAGCAAGTCTTGCGCCAGGATTTAGCAAAGTCTGACGACTGTGGCTTGAAGGATGTATTGGAAGACCTTCAAGACATCCCTAGCTTGCTCAGCCAGGTGTCCGACCCCTTGAAGAAGATCCAGCAGCTGGACATCAATGCAAACAGTGTGCAGGCAGGTGTCGTGAGCTACAATCAGTGGGTCGATTTCAACTTGGACCTCCCTTGCTCGAAGATGGAGCTGTGGACAGCTTCGCTTGAGGGTCTAAGTGTTTCGGCCCACATCCCCAAGTTCTATGCTTGTAATTTCGGCTACACGTTGCCCTTACCCAATGAGCACATCCCCTACTTGAGGATCAAGAAAGCAGCCAAGGCCTTGTCGTGACGAGCGTGGCCTCCAGTACCAAGTTAGCCAGGAGTGCTCCGGTTTTAGTTTATCAACTCTCAGTGAGTCTTTTGTTTTCTTCTGTAAAGTTCTGCAAAATCCGTAGACGAGTGATGGATAGACAGATGATGGATCTCCTTGACGATGGGTCAGAGTTGAGGGTCCGTTGGATAGCGGATGGACCCTCACGTGAAACTTCAAAGGAGTCCTTCCAGCTTCGTACAGATCTGAGCTGGAAAATTGCTGCAAGTCATGTTGCCCAAGTGGTCGGTCTGAGAGTCATCGCGCAGTCGCAGCATGATCATAATACCATGCAAGCATAGTCTATAGTTACTGCCTATTGTACCGCCGCAGGTGTATGCGCCTTTTTGTCCTGCGTGTTCAGGCTGTGTTCCCAATCCTGCGCAGTTGTTGCATGCGTGCTCAAGCAAGAACATGACTCTGGACAAGATGCCAGCAAGTAGAAAGGAGAAAAGCTTCGCGCAATGATGGAAGCGCAGAAACTTGAAGACTTTTCAACCCTGCCCTGAGAACATTGAAAGCCCACACCCTTCCCTGGCCCTTTGAAGAAGATGCACGCAGTGGCACAGCAAGCGCGCGCTGAAGTGTCGCATGCTGTTGATTGAGTGGACTATATTATAAGCTAGATCGACGTGTGAGCATAAAGCGTTTATGCCAGTGCTAAGATGCTTTGAGTATGTCGGCCAGACGGTCTATGGTGTTGGGATATGTTTGCGGGGACAAGGTTCCTGTTTCTTCGGCTCCTTTACAAAATTAAATGTATTATGTACTGTATATATATATATATGGTACCCCCCC